ATTGCTTTTATTTTCAACTACTAAAGTTGGATCTTTGTTAATAAACTCATATAGATGATCATTACTAAACAAATCGGTCATGTGTTGAATATATTCATCTTTATATACAATAACTGTAGAATTTCCTTTGTCTGCTCTCATTACTAAGATGTTACTATTTTCACGTAAAAATTGTTTGGTGTAATTCACATCTTGTCTTACATTAAGACTGAAAAGTTTTCGGAAATTCTCATTTAAAATTCGCGCGCTGTATATTTTTCGATATTTTAAGTTTATGTAGTTTGGCAGCACTGTCCTTATTTACTATGCCAAAAATGAGCGCGATCTGTCAGACAGTTCGTTTACGGCAGCTGTTGAAACCAGTTCACCTCAGTAGTGCGTTGCGAAATGTCTTTGACGGTCGTACGACCGTCCTGAAAAGCTTTGTACCACTCATAAACTTGAGTTTTCGATAAAACTGATTCCCCATAAGCCTTTTGTAGCATTCGCAACGATTCTGCACACGAAATTTCGTTCGAAACACAAAATTTGATGCAAACTCTTTGTTCAATATTTTTTTCCATTGTTTTTTTCGCAACGCACTACTGAGGTGAACTGGTTTCAACAGCTGCCGTAAACGAACTGTCTGACAGATCGCGCTCATTTTTGGCATAGTAATTGTCCTTAATTGCTGCCAAACTACATAAACTTAAAATATCGAAAAATATACAGCGCGCGAATTTTAAATGAGAATTTCCGAAAACTTTTCGGTCTTAATGTATGTTATTTGATTTGTTAAGACAATGTACATTAGAATAGAAATTGGTAATAATGTTTATCCCTTTCATTCTTAATTGATCTAATTTATTATTATTATATGGATGTTGTCTTACACCATATTCAAAATCTTTGATAATGGTACTCATGTTAACATCTTTTGCTTCTATTTGAAGGGAAAATTTTGGACCAACTTCTATTACACGTTGGACTCGTATTGGTATTTGAACATTCGTATAATTATTGATAAACTTCTTTTTACAAATTATGGTGTGTTCGTCATGTTTTATTGCTAGGTTTTGGAACTTCTTACAATTATGTTTCTTTGTTTTATCAAAAATGAAATTATATCTATGTTTTAATCTGTCATAAAAGTTGTTTAAAGTTATTACATCTATATATCGACTCAATTCTAATTTAGTTTTTGTTATTTCTTTGTTTGTTCTATCAAGTTTCCATATTGTTATTTTTATTTCAATGTTCAAAATTGATCGTCTGAATTTTTTTAATAACTTATCAGCTACATGTGGATTAGGCCATTAGATTTTTACAGGGTTAACTACTTTGTGCTTGCTAAAGTAAACGCATGAGTTAAACCATTTAATTTATATAGAGTTATTCGTTTTGTGATTCCAAAAGTAAACATAAAAAAGTAAACTGATGATGTTTGGTATCATCTTTTAAATGTACTCCACAGATCATCTTACAGAAATGTTTGATGACTTGAGAGGGTGGGAGAGTTTGAGGTTTGTGTCCGCATAAACATGATACAAAAAAGTGCAGTACTCCTAATTCACATAAAATATAATAAATTAAGTCAAACACCTGGCAATTTCGCACACAACAACAATAGGACGTACTGTGTGATTTGTGGCACCGTCCTCCTGTCAAGCTGCTATTTTCTTGTAACACCGATTTCAGAATGGATTTTAGTAGAGTCAGCTATTTTATATAAATTTTTTTACTGCACTATTTGCTAATATTGCTTACTACTCGGTATATCGATATTTAAAAGTGATATCTTTTTACATTGATTAAACTAACAGGAATTACACACACCATCTACTGTCAACTAGTAACAATAAGTCTTCTTGTTCTCGGAAAGTAGAAAACATTTAAATATGGCATAGTAGAAAAATCTGTATTGTGACAGATGGATGTGCCCGGGGAAGAATCATGACCATATTTTGATTTATTTGAACGTCGAAATATTTTAAAGACATTGCTTAATTGGCAAAGTAAAATATTGAAATTAACAACAAATGCATATTCAGTTTTTACTTGCTTCAGAAGATATGTAAAAATTTCTGTAATATTACACTAACAAAATCTATTGCGTTGGTTGGCTATAGCAAATTGTTACGAACCTCGAGACTGTCCACTTGGGCAGTCCTATGATTGAAATCTCATACAGAAGAAGACTCCATTTCCAGCTATTCCAATCAAGAATATGAAATTCAAGTCTGACATCAAAACTACAATTCATTTTCAAAGAACTAGAAGAAACAATTTTAAACATTCAAAACTAGCTTACACAAAAATTACAAAAACGTATATTCCCAAAATGAGCAGGCCACTTGTCTCTTGTCGTATTGAACTCAGTTGTATTTTAGGCTTAATATAAAGTAAAGCCAATGAGAATTTTAAATAATGTATTAAATAATAAACCACTTCAACCAAAAACAGAATTATAAAGGAATGTATTTTGTATCACAACTCTTTTTTGTTATGGCACACTTATCAAATGTTCTAATATGCAAGGGTAACACGATTAACGTAATTAAATTTTGTTAATAATTTTCATTCGGTTTAATTTCCATTTATAAAAAATAACTGAAATAATCGTAATGTAACGCAAGTCGGTTGCTCTATGACGTCTACTTTTTTGTGTAAAAACACAGCAAATTTACAAAAGTCCACTTTCCAGCATACAAGTTAAGTATGGATTTGGCGCAGTTGGCTAATTGAACACTGACTCTGAGCTTCAAATTTGGCAGGGCATGAGTTCAACATTTGGTACTTGCAGTCGCAAAATATTATTTACGGATAAATAAATATAAGAAATAATTCCAAGACCACTGATGATTGGTATTTGGCAATAGTCGAGACAGCTGTATGGTTAGCCATAAATTAATTAATTAAGATAATGTAAAAAAATAGAATTTTTGTTGTTATATTTCACTACTTTTCTCTACCAAATATACTAGTTTCTTTAAGTAAAATAGTTAGTTCCGTCTTATCAGACATTAAATTACGTCACTCACAGTACTAAGCGAAGTGCGATCAACTGTAACTGCCATTCATGTTACTGTCAGGGAAGATAATTATTCGAAAATTCGATATTCCTCAAAAAACATATTCCATGTCGATTCTTTCAGTTTAATGTTAATAAGATCCCATTTACGTAAGAATTAAATCCATTATTATACTGCAATATTGCGGTCAGGAAGGAATTCACTTCTATTTACGAAGCTATCACTACGTTTACGCGAGTCTTAAAATCACTTTTAAAACTGATTTTAAAATTTGTTCTTAGAGCGTTTACGCACAAGAATTAAAAGCACTTTTAAGGTAACTGTCAATCAATCAGCTGTTTAACAGCAAACATAAATGTTGATTTTAAACATTTTAAAAATGAATATGGTAAAACTACAAATTGTTTTACTTTTATTGCAAAAAAAAGATATTATAACCAAAATTGTAGAAAATAATAATAAAGCAACAATGCTGATTTTAAAATCATTCCGTAAAAAATTTACAAAATTACGAGAAATGCGATTGCAGCTCTTTAATAAAATGGCAATACGTTCTGCTAATGAGGCTTTAATGAATGTAAATGTTTTTATAAAGTTTTTCATAAAATATTTAGAATGCATTTTTGTTTTTAGCTTCCACCACGAATAAGAACTTTTAGCAAAAGGAAGAGAAGTTCGGAATGGTGGGATGTTGAAGTTCTGCAGTTCTATGACGATGAACAATGGATTGCTGATTTTCGAATGAATCGACAAATATTTTTCAGGCTTGTAGATTTGCTTAAGGATAAAATGGCACCAGCAGAAAACACTTTCGTTGAAGGGTTGTCTGTTGAAAAGAAAATAGCTATTGCAGTTTACAAACTTGCCTCTTGTGCTGAATACCGTGTAATTGCAAAGGGATTTGGAGTATCAAAAAGTACTGTTTGCTTATGTGTTCACAGTTTCTGTAAAGTTTTAATTGAAAATCAAGTCGGCAAAATATTATCCTGGCCAAATGCATTAGAATGTGAACGCATAGCCTCGAGATTTGAACAAAAATTTAAACTGCCAAATATTATTGGTGTTATAGACGGCACTCATGTGCCAATTAAACCCCCAAAAGACGGTGCTGCAGATTTTCGTAACAGAAAGGGTTATAGTTCCATTGCAGTGCAAGCTATTGTGGATGATCAATATTTATTTAAAAATATCACAGCACAAAATCCTGGCTGTGCACACGATGCATCAGTGCTTAGGGGCAGTTCTCTATACAAAAACCATAATACATTAATTCCTGAAAGCCATAGGGAAATCGCCGGAATTTACAACGCCTCAAATGAAGCTATGCTTTTTAAACTTCCTTATTATATTATTGGTGATGCAGCTTATCCGCTTTGTAACTGGATTATGAAAAATTATAGGGACGAGTTAACTGTTGAAGAGACATCCTTCAACTTATATTTGAATCAAGCACGAATTGTTGTGGAGCAAGCATTTGGTCGCTTGAAAGGAAGATGGAGAATACTTTATAAGAAGAGCGACCTAGATGTTTACAATATGCCGCATGTGATAATAGCGTGCGGAATTCTTCACAATTTTGTGGAGATATCTAAACAACGTTATAATTCCTCATGGGATGTAGAAAGAATCCACGGTGAAAGTGAATATCCCCAACCTGAACAGATGTACAATCGACAAAATTCGTCGTCCGGACATCTTATGCGAGATCATATATGCGCGCACTTGGCGAGAAAATATCCACTTCTACATAGAAGCAATTAAAAAAATAATGTAGAAAAAACCAATTTTTAATTAATTAATTTATACGTTTATTTATAACTAACAATATAATATATATAATATAATATATTTATAACAATTTATGTTTAATAATAAATTTAAATAATTGAAAATAATAAATTTAATATTAAATTGAAATATTTTTTCAATTTTTAGAGAATAAAAAATAAAAAGATTTTCAAATATAGAATAAAAAATAAATAATTTTAATTAATTTAAATTCTGCGATGCAATTAGACCTCTGATAGCACTTTCAATTGTCTCATTGCTACTACGCACCAAATTTTCATTGTGCTTACGCTGCTCTTCCAGCATTTTCGTTTCCCATTCACGCTGTTTTTCCGCTTCCTCGCTAAAGAATTTTTCTTGGCGGCTAATCATAATTTTGCATTCGCGAGACCAACTTTCATGAAAGCTGGACAATGCCTTTGCGTAACTTCCTCTGCCCTTCGATCGATCTAGTCGAATTTGCGTTGTGGTGGTATTTGATGAAGTTGACGTCGAAGGCAAGTCATCTATTCCTAACTCCCAATTCGTTTCATCTGCGTTATTCTGCGAGTTCAAAAATGCGGATGTCGAAGGCAAATCAAAGTCTGAATTGTGCTCATCTGTGTTGTCATTCAAATATTCTTCATTCCATTCGCCTACAATTAAAGAAATTAAAGTTCGGTAACAATATATTTACTTTTATGATAAATTACCATTTAAGTGTTCAATATCAAGAGTATCGCACCCGTTATTTTCAAGAATTGATGATGGTCTTGAGTCAAGGATTTCGCACATCAATGGATGGTATTCCATGCAACTGTTACCACTACAATTGTTATGTTTTTTTATTTCAGAGTATTGTCTCTTTAATACCTGCCACTTTTGTTTAATTTGCTGTACACTTCTGTACCAGCCACTGATTTCCAGTTCTTGGCGAACAATTTCATAAATTGTGTCCTTTCTATATTTTTTGCCGTCTAACAATTTAATTATTTGTTTTTCTGCAAATATTTTAATTAAACATTCTTCCTCCTCTTTCATCCAATTTTTTCTTTTCATTTCCCTTTTCTCCATATTTTTAGTTATTTGGTTAGTGTTATTTGTAATAAAATTCAAATTATTTGTACCTATTTACTGTTAACAGCTGACAATTCAAACCTTAAACTGCTTTTAAGGTGTTTACGCAAAGCGTAAAAGTGACATTTCTTACTAAAAGTGATGTTAAACTACTTTTAGTAAGCTAAAAGTGCTTTTAAGCAAAATTCAATTTAGGGTGTTTACGCGATCTTAAAATCGATTTTAAGAGCCTTAAAACAACTTTTAAGGCTCGCGTAAACGTAGTGTATGTTAATTAGTGAAATTGCAGATTGCAGTATGTACTGAGTCATTTGGACGGGTGGAATGATACTTATGGCCGAGACATGTTGAACGATTTGAATTTTATAAATGTGTTTTAAGGAGCATTTGTTTTCAATAGGATAATATCACATGTTTTAGAAATAAATCCATTTTCTGCCATTAATATTCTGTAATCTGACGCCTCTATATGGGTTTGCTATTTCAATAATAGTTTAATAAATCATTAATTTATGTTACTGAAATAAACTATTTCTACAAACGAATACCGATTACAGTCTTAAAAGTAAAAAAAATTGAACGCAAATTCGTCATTGGTATGTAGATCCTCTAAAGGTCAAATGTCCGAAATAATTTTTTATCATTCACTTCATTTATTTATCTTTGTTTCAATTTCAGAAAATACACCTTTGAAAAAAAAAGATCGTGTATTACTATAGTCTACATAGTTAGTAAAAATAGGATTGATCAGTTGAATTTATATTCAAAGTTGCATTTATAAGCTTTTATTTCGAATGTATTCTTTTATGGAAAACAAGTATTTTCTGAAAAATTTTAAAGGTAAATAGACTAAAATAGAACACAATTATCTTGTAAAAACTTTTAATGACGATGGGTGATTATTATATGGGTTATAGTGGAGACTTACGCCCAAAGCTCACTCGAGCTCAAATACAATGACTTCAATATATAATAATGTGATATCATTATATAGTTGCTATATAAATATATAACTCTGATTTGAATAGTGACTTTTTAAGAACTTTGTGTGAGAGTATTTAAGCCGTAATAAAACTCTATTTTCACAGCATAGGATTTTATTTACATAGTTTAAAATTTAATATGTTAGTGTTGCAATGTTATTTATATCATTTTTATATTATGAATACACTTTTTTAATGGAAGTAGCATATGAAATGGTGGTACCAACTGTTGGTCGGTGCAGATGATGAGTTGTGTTGCAGTAGCGAAAGGAGCAACACAACTCATCAATCTTTCAAACGTTTACACGTTTTTATTGCTCCAATAAGTTGGCAATGTTTTACTGGCCATTTTTAACTTCTTTTTATGAGTTTTTAGCATTTGTTTAGGTAAATTTATTTCTTGCACATAGCAAACAATAAAAAATTTTACTCAACACTAAATCAAGTAAAAGAATTTTTTATTGCACTCCTTTTCCAGTTTTTCACTTTTTATCTTTATAATTTTTCCATTATTTTTGCTATTTTTCTAATTTTTCCTCAGTTTCAAATGTCCTTTTTTGTTTCTCTCAGAAAACAACAAATCCGCATCTATAATTTATGGAGCAATTATGCAAGTGTGAGTTTGTGTGATTTTTTAATACCTTCTCCAACACCTAAAATATTCAACAATGTACGAGTAGTTTTAGGTTGAAGTTTTGCCATTTTGGCATTTTGTAAAATAAACCTCAAGCTTAAGGATTTGTCCTTTTTATCAGAAGCATTTTATTGTCACACTTGTGTACAATGCACAGCACACAGATTTGCCAGGAAGTCAAGTGAGCAGACTTTCAACCTTCTTTTCTCTTGGCATTTTTACCTTTTGACTTATTGCTTTTTGTTAACTGATTTTTATTGTGTTCATATCCGAGCCATACTTGCATGCGGTTTGGCTCGGATAAGGACACGGGTATGCCCGTCAGTATGGAGTACAGAAACACCTACTCTAATGCACACAAATGTAGTTACGTGCCGTTCTAATGTTTTTTGAAGTTGCTATGATGGCTGACACCAAATGTTACCAATTTTTATTATTTTTTTATATGCTTGCCTAAAATTATTATCCATCAGATACTCAGATACGAGTACGAATACAAAGAATTGTATCTCGTGTATGCAACAGAAACCCTTTTTTATGGGGCATTCAACGTTTTGTGTGTGGGAAAATAACAAATTCGCTTTTTCATTGTAATTTGTTTTATTTTTTCTCTTCTCTCTTTGACAATTGTTGCTGTCACCAATTAAATTCCATTTTCCCCAACATCAGTTTAGCTTCGAAATTGTAATGTGATTTACGGCTTTTCGTTCAATGTCAATGCATACACTTAATTATTGCAGCCAGCACAGAGTCTGCAACATCAGCGGCAACTGCGATGCGAAAAAAGTGGAATTTGCAATTTCGAAATTGCTGTTTTGCATATTGGCTTTTATCTGCCGTAATTCAATGTTGCAGTTGTTATCGCACTAATTGTGGAAATTCCATTTATTGAACTGAGGCATGACAATCAGCCACAGTTGTAGTAGAAAGCACTACAATCCGTAGTGAGTTTCGGTTTTCAGTTTGGCTTATTACGTGATATAACTCTTTATATATGTAACATTTACTAAGTATATAAACCATGCTTAAGACTTAGTAGCAATGGTCTTGCATCATAGCATTTGCAGACAAGTATTGCAGACAAATAAGTATTAGTAAGTCGTGTGGCTGACACACAGATGGCGCTGTCATTGTCAAATCCATATGATGTTTATGAAGTACCAACCTTCAAAAGACCATGTGTAAAACTTCATGACATTTCGATTAGTCAAAAATAAAGGGACAACCATTTAAGTGAAGCTACTTTTGTTATTTTCAAAACAATGGATTTTGTGTGTTAATTTAATTTATCATGCTTCTTGATGAAAAAAAAATACTGTACAAGCTCAGCTTCAAAAGTGTTATCCGGACTCTGCTCCATTTAAATTTAAATGAAGTCGTACCATTATCGGTGTTGATGGTGAACCTTCTGATCGTAAATTGAAGTTGCGTGAGATAGCTGAGACCGTAAAGATATCAGCAGGCAGTGTGTTTACAATTATGCATGAACATTTGACCATGAGAAAGCTCTTTTCAAAGTGGGTGCCGCGTTTACTCACAGTCGATCAAAAACAACAACGTGTTGATGATTCAGAGAAGTGTTTGGCCATGTTTACACGTAATAAATCAGATTTTTTGCGTCGATATGTGACAATGGATGAAACATGGATCCATCAGTTCACTCCGAAATTAAAACGATCATCATCTGAGTGGACAGCAGCCGGTGAACCACGTCCGAAGCGTCCAAAGGCACAACAGTCAGCTGGGAAGGTTATGGCTTCAGTATTTTGGGATGCACATGGTATAATATTCACTGACTATCTCGATAAGGGAAAAATCATCAATAGTAACTACTATACGGTATTACTGGATCGTTTGTGAAAAAACGACCGCATACGGCAAAGAAAAAAACTTTGTTTCCCCAAGCCAATGCACCATGTAACAAGTAATAAAAACAATAAAAACGATGGCAAAATTTCACGAATAACACTTCGAATTGCTTCATCATCTACCATATAGTCCAGATCTGGCCCACAGCGACTACTGGCTATTCGCTGATCTCAAAAAAATGCTTGCCGGTAAGAAATGCATATCAAATGAAGAAGCAATTGCTGAAACTGAATCCTATTTTGAGGTAAAAGACAAATACTTTTACAAGTACGGCATCGAGAAGTTAGAGAAGCATTGGAATGATTTTATTGCCCTTGAAGGAGATTATATTGATGAGTAAAATTGATTTTTAGCAGAAAAAATTTGTTTTTCTTAGTTAGTCACACGACTTATTGAGTGATGTGCTATATGTCGGATTTTTATAAATAAACTATTTTTTTTAATTTAAATAATTAACTTAAAAGTTAGTAACAATTTTGAATAATGAAATAAACAATATTAGCTGATTAAGTAATGAGAAATTATTTATATTTAAAACACTTCTATTTAACTTTTTCAAAAAATTAAATATAATAATATTATACAGTATTGCTTAAAATACGCAAACTCGATTGTTTTCATAACTAATTAAGGAATTTTATTGCTTTGGAAACAAATCAACTGGAAAGTTCAAGAACCAGCCTTTTTCATTGTTTTATAGTAGTCGCTAGACAATGGGAAAGAGGAATAAAACCACTGAATGCACAAAATATTGGGCAAATATATGTAAAATAAATTTTCACTGAAAAACGATTACAGAGTGCTGTCACACCATTAGGTTATGAGTCTTACTTTTGTCTCAGTAGCTTTGTTAATCAAAAATAAAAATTGACACATTTAGACTAAAATAGAGTAAAAAGCAATCCATTAGTTACTTATGCGGCTCAAAAGACCACTGTTAAGAACTGAAGCCATACTTATTGAAACATAAAAAAAATTGAAATATCGTCGTCAATGATGTACGGAACAAAGGCATTAACAATGATTTTTATATTCATGTGGAGGTGCAAATAACTGAACGATTTTTGGCTACTTGTTATATTGTCAGAGACATTAACGAATTATAAAAGCATATGTTCGAAGACTAGATGGTCTCCAGAAATGTTGCAATGGTATCTTTCTAATTATGTGATTTACTGACAGTAGATATTTTAAGTGTTTCATTTATGTGGATAAGTCTACAACGATTTCAGTCATGAGTAGTCTATGTAAGATGTATTTGGTAATATTGTATTAGTTATAAATATTTGAAGGATAGGATTTAAGTTTTAAATATTTTTTCCCAATTTATAAATAAAATTTTACTTCACTAACTTGCATTAGTTTTCTTTTGAATTTAAAGCCTACCTCTACCAAAAAATATTTTCTTTTTTTTTA